GGATGTCCATTTGGCTGACTGGTTAGAGCGTATGACTCTCACCCCAGAGGTCTGGGGATCGAATACAACCCGGGCCGTCGTTATCCACCTTGCCACGTTAGTTTTTCCAGTTCGGAAGTTGTTTTAAGTGTTGCTAATTGTCTTAAACGTTCACAATGAGGATATATTAATCCTTTTTGCAATATTTGCGATTGAAAGATGGTTTGTGGTAAGAACTGGCTTTCTTTATGTTACAGCCTTGATACTAAAAAAATAAATAATGTAAAATGGCACCCTGTATTGAATGTAAACGTTGTATAAATGTAAATAAACAATTCTCCAGCGATTTAATTTTTTCCCCTTCCTTTCTTTAGTCCACTTGACATGCAGCCACAGTTAACTAGTTTGGGGCACATTTTTACTTGGAAAAATAGTATTTAAACTGATCAAGCTTTGGCTTTACAATGACACTGTGTAGGTTACTATCTATACATTACGTTGCTCTATTTAAAAGTAACAAGATAAAAGCTCTTCAGCACATAAAATTAAGATTGTCACTTGCCAAATAGACTACACCCTCCCGTTTACCTATAAGAAACGCCTCAAAATATCTTTAAATTCTTTATTGATGATTTAATTGTAGACAACTAAAATGGCATTTTACTTGCCAAAAAGTGATTGAATCGCTCAGATTTTCATGGAGGCTAAAATTGACCAAATAAGGGTTTTATGTATTATCTGTTGATGTTACTGTACTCATACTGCCTACTGTGTCATCAAAACACCCCAAAAATGGCAACAAAAAAAAAAAAGATAATTTCCCTTGCCAAAAATTGATTACAGTGTCCTGGTCACCTGTAAAGGGTTACATTTACCTAAATATTACCTTATTTATTATCTCTTGATGTTATTAGTGCCATCACAGGTTGCTGGGTCTCTTCATAAACACCTCAAAAATGGCAACAAATGATCATTTCCCTTGCCAAAAATTGATCACAGAGTCCTGGTCACCTGTAAAGGGTTAAATTTACCTAAATATTACCTTATTTATTATCTCTTGATGCTATTAGTGCCATCACAGGATGCTGGGTGTCTTCCACATTCATAAACACCTCAAAAATGGCAACAAATGATAATTTCCCTTGCCAAAAATTGATCACAGTGTCCTGGTCACCCATAAAGGCTTAAATTGGCATAAATATTACTTCATTTATTATGATGCTGGGTGTGTTCCACAATCATATTCGAATAAACATGAAAATATTCCGTCCGAATATCTGTTTCTTGTTATAAATATAACAGCTAGAAGGATTTACAGTTAAAATAGGAGAAACATTTCAGGGAACTATTGTCAATTAACCACAGAAATAAGGACTAATAACATCAAGAGATAATAAATAAGGCAATATTTAGGTAAATTTAACCCTTTACACTTGACTCCCCAGGAAGGGTCGTAACACCACTTGCCTCATGCACATAAGTGACCAAATCAAAGCAGCATGGAGACACTCCGTCTCCAACCACCTCTCAGGCAGCAGCCTGCACTCCCAAGTTCTACACGTCACCAGAACATAAACAACCGCAACACAATAAAAGCAGTGTTATACAAAATGGAAGGCCTGTAGTGTTTATTCTCTTACAGTAACAACTTATCAATTTTTTGGAGGAATTTATTTAAGATTTTTTGGTTTTTATTAATTGTGCAATAGAAAAATAATCTCTAGATTAATCATCTAAAGTCATTAGAATAGTCAACTATTCGATAAAAGAATCGTCAGAATAATCATTTTAAAAATAATCATTTACCCCCAACCCTACTTTTTTAGAATACCAGGATAGGAAGGATGGTGTAGGTTTACGTTTATTAGATTGATACATAAATATTACCAATAAGAAAGTGTACGTTGGTGTGTGTCAGAAACAGCGTAAGGCTTAATGTCTTTTCCAAAAAAAACCAGGTGATGGGCCGGTCTCCAATCAAAATGCCCGAGCTGAATTTTTGTCCCAGTCCAGCCTGGCGCCAAAGCTTTCCATCATTTTTTGTAGACCTTCAATGGCGGCTAGTAGCGCACTGTTGGATACATTAGAGTCGGTTTCTTCTTCTCCTTTTTGTTTTTTGTGTGATGTTGTGGCTTTGCAGGGTGATGAAAGTGGGTTTTTATTACCTCTTGAGTTGGTGTCCATATTTTCCGAACCAAGGTAGTCGTGAGTTAGCAGGGCTTTGTGAGCTTTGCTTTTAGCTTTAGCCATTTCTTCGTGTTTCACGTATGGCCTCATCCACTCTTGTTTAGCTAATACCAGTACTAGTTGTAGAGGGTAGTTTTATATTCCTGATGAGATTTTTCATTAAACATTAAGTAATAATAGTTCTTAAATTAGACCATTCTTTGAGGTTGCTACCGGAGCTCCTTACAGAAAGTCTGCTCCTTCCACCATCTTGCCTCCCTCCGAAAAGGATAAGTGTTGATCAGTCGCCTACCGAGCGGAAGTAATTCCGACGGGGATTAACATCTCCGATTTCACAAAAAACGTTCACACAGTGTCACAAACACAGCGACAAACAATAAAATAGACAGTTTTCAATGTACCAAGACAGGAAAAATATACCTTCATATGTAGGCCTCAAGATGACCACGTCAGCTTTAAGGTGTTTTGATGAAACAGCACCTCCTTTGGAGGGTGATGAATGTGCAACCCCCCTTCAAGATAAAAGCTGTCTCTAAGCTGAAGGAGGAAAAGCTCGCCTTTTCCTTCCACTCTGAACTCACACTGAACAAAAATCCCAAATATGTCTCAAAATCGGCACAAAGTGTAATAAACTGTGCAGATATCAGGCTTAGCTCGCCAAAAGTAATGATCTGAAGTTGTATATTTATACACTGTAATTAGATAATGTAATGATCTGATTTTGTATATTTATACACTGTAATTAGATCTAAGTAAATAATCAGAAGTGGTCGTTTTTATCATCAGGGAGTTTACTCAAACACTCTGTATTGATTAAGAGACAAGAAAAGAGAGAGTTGGGATCGTTTAAGAATCTTTAATTTCTATAATTATAAATTCTTACAATCTACCAGGACTATCTCAATGATGAATGCATATGGATTTGGATGTTTCATGTTGGTGTGTGTGTGTGTGTTGTTCAGAATCTCTAGGCTGACGTAGCGAATCTGGTTGTTGTGACTAGGCTACCACGAGGCTTCAGAAGCTGATGACATGAGCCGCCATTTTGTGCCGTGACCACGTACCTACAGAGTCTCCCGTGTAGATCAGGAAATGCCAGGTCCTAGGACCTCGAATGTACTGGAGCTGGTGAAACAGCGGTTGCAGCACTACAAAGCCCGTCTGTGGGTCGGCTCCGGTAGTAGTCGCCAGGCGTCGGCAAGTTCACTCTTATTTTGAAGGAACGTCGTCTCGTTGATTCAAACGACGGAAATCTCCAGCTTGCCAGTTCTCAGCTTAAAGTAGAAAGTGTACTGGCCAGCTACACTTCTCTTAGTGATGACGAATGAGAGCTGGTGGAAATACTACGTTGGGAGTATGATGTAACTCCTTAGGAGCTCGGATCAAACAGAGCTGATGTTAACGTGGAACTCTTAACGTGGAACTGAATATAAAATGGCGTTGCCTTCTTTTATATGTCCTAATTGTTTACCAATCTTAGTAAACCGGATTGGACACATTAAGTAAACATCCCAGATTCTCTCTACGACAGACGAAAGTTCTGACTGGTTGAAAACAATGTGTCATGCGTTTCCATGGTGATGTAGATCAGTCTGTCTGGTGCAGCCCTGTTTATTCATTTAAACACATAACTCATGACATCTTTATTTCACAGATCATTCACCTGATTATTAATGATCAACATATGCTTTGATTAGCTTATCACAAATAAAGTACTTTGATTAATCAATGAAAAGCGTTCTTCTTCTCTTCTTCTGTCTCTTCTCCTGGAATGTAAACATACTGAACCAAGCGTCCGACCTTGGTGATGTTACTGTGTGAAGGGGCAGCTGTTAAGGCAGACCATTATAAGATTCATAACGGTACAACCTATATAAGTCTCTAGACACCCATTTTTCTCAACAAAAAAACTGCTAAAAATATATTCAGCCTTGATTGTACACAGCAAGATTTATTATTTACAGTGATATAATTAATAATGCTCGATAACGATCAATACTAGATGTCATTTTATTGTGTTCAATGTTATATTACGTTTATTTATTACAATTATTAATAGCTTTTGTTTCATTTTTGTTCTCTGATGATTTATTTGGAAATGACTGATTTTTGGTTTGTGTTCTCAAAGCTACATAAACAAATTATATCTTGTAAAACCTCCCATAATTCAGTCAGATTCAAAACATTTCATTTCAAGGTATTTAGTAGATGAAGAGTTTTTTTTTCTTGTATGGTGCCTTCAAAAAGGTGCTTCACATTAATAATCTCACAGTAACTTATGTTACATTAACAGACTAAATAACAATGCTTCAACCTGCCCAGCATCAACAACAATCTATACATTTTTACTGATTGATATATATAATTATCATTATGTGGAAAAACAATGTGTTTATCACCAAAAATAGCCTTTTTATATTCCTTCGTAATAGTACTGATAGAGAAGAGAGCCTTAAGTGATTCCCACAGACCCCCTTAAATGAGGCTGCTAACTAACATGCTACATTCACCTTCGTGAGGTTCATTGGGTTGTGAGGAGACACCTGCTGACATATCACCAGCTGCTGATTCTATAAGGACAAGGACAGCAACCCATTTACCATAATTAGATGAAACATAGTTCCTCTCATTGTGGATATCAAAGCTAGCTAACAGGTTGAATTTAACCAATCACTAACTAAACCCACCTTCCTTTGAGAATAACTGTGCGACATACTGACGCTCTCTCTTCTGCCTGTCCTCTTTCTCCTTTCATTCTTTCTTTTACTGTGACCCAGACGCGTTGCCCCGCCCGCGTTGCAGCCTGCGGCCATGCGCCTCATTCTGCGCATGCGCGTTCCGAACGGAACATCAACGCAGAGGTGTCATGGCGTCGTGCAGCACAGTGGCTCAGAAACAGAAACACAACTAGCTGGCTCAGAAACAGAAACACAACTAGCTAAGGTTCATTTATTATGACTCGCAGACCGTGAATAAACATAGAATAAAGACCCCGGAAGAAGAAATCAGGTAAGGATCTGGAAAAAGTTTAAATATCACTTTTTCTTCTCTAATGATGAAGGTTAGCGAACTAGTGCTGTATCATTATGTCCACGTGCTGGCGGTTTGTTCATTTCTAGCTGGAATTAAGTATTTTTTTCGTAGTGGGACGGTAGATAAGAGAAACGAAAACCAGTTTAACCGTAGGAAAGTTTTCAGTGGTAACCAGTAGTCTGACTGCAAGTGAAGAAAGTTAAGTCATTTGGAGACCCAGCTGAAATGACTTCACTGCACTAGTTAACTCCTTCATTAGTAGTGTCCAAATATTTAGCTAAACAGGCCTAAAACGACAAGTTGAAAGTACTTGTTTGCCACTTTTATAAATGCAAACAATTTTTGTTCCCAGCTAAACAATAAAGTTAAATCAATCCTTCACTATTCGTTAGCATGTCTTCATATCACATCAGCTTCCAATGATGGGGTGCTGAAAGACAAAAGCCACAGGCCATGGCTAAAAAAACATCTATATAAGCAACGTGATTAAAACAGCGTCAATAAGAACAACAGTAAAACCAACAGAGGAATGTAAACAGATGCATTTAATTAGCATAATCCCCATTGTAATCCAGAAAAGAGAAAACTGGTTTTCAGTCTGAACCCAATGTTTAATATTATAATATAAAGTACACAATATTTTAGGGCTGCACATAGTAATTAGATATTTTTACGATAAGGATGTGTAGATCTCAGATGCAAAGCGTCAACAGTCCAGTGTGGATGTAGATGTGCATCCAGATGTAATACCTGCATTCATATGTTGCTTTTAAATGCTACAAAATCCATCAGAATGTCGTTAGAAATAGGTGCCAATGCAGACAAAAATATCTGTGATTTTTAGATATTTTCTACAAAAAGAGTCTTTGTTGTGTCCACGATGACTACAGATACCAGTAGAAATAATTCCAAGTGAAAAAGGTTGATTTGTATCTCCTACTTTATTTAGTTCAAAATGGCTGACTCAAGTGACACCAGTAATCAGCAAATGGCGACTCCTGGAGGCAGCAGTAACGTTGGACTGCTGATGGGCCGCCGACCACCATCGGGAATCTCTCCAGGTCGCCTCCCTTCCATGAGGTCAAGAGACCTCACACTGGGGGGAGTAAAAAAGGTACTGCACCAGGTCTTTTATTAAAGTATAGTTATTTGTAGTGGTTTATAGTAGGAAGTCGAAAGTCAGGGGGAAACAATACACTGGTGCACCATTACCAGGAACTGAAGTTACCCACATCACAGCTGAGCTTCAGACAGCAGGTTTTGGAGTCTTAGTTCCTGATACTTGGACATTTATCCTCAGATTGGATAACAGTGATTCCTGGGGTTGTGCTCCTGCAGTCATTGGTGTATAAAATGAGCAGAAGTGGAGAGATGACTGAACCTTGTGGGGAACCAGTGGAGAGTGACCTGACAGTACTGTGATGGCCGTTAACCCTGACCCTCTGCTCCCTCCCCGTGAGAAAGGAGAGGACCCAGAGGATGAGATGGGAGTTAACATTCAGGTTCAGCAGTTTACATCCCATAAGATGTGGCTGGACTGTGTTGAATGCACTAGAGAAATCCACAAAGACCAGGTTGATATGTGACTTTGGCTGTTCCAGGTGGGTGAGGGTCTCATGCAGCATAGTTAGTAGAGCATCATCCACCCCTCTGTGTGGTTGGTATGCAAACTGCATTGGGTCCAAACATGCACCCACATCAACCAGCAGCTGGGCCATTACGAGCCTCTCAAAGGTCTTCACAACCAGTGATGTCAGAGCTACAGGTCCAAAGTCGCTGTTGATGCCTGGGTTGTTCTGCTTTGCCACGGGGCAGATGATAGAGGACTTCCAGATGGAGGGGATGGAGTGCTCAGCTAGCGAGCAGTTAAACAGGAAGCAGAGAACTCCCGCCAGCTGACTGCAGATGACCAGAGATCCTGCCTGGTCCTGAGGCCTTGTTGGGGTTGATCCTCTTTAGCGTGCTCTCCATGTCCATAGGCAGGAGCTGCAGGTTCTCAACGGCTTGGGACATAGGGGCTAGCTCCATGAATGTGAAGCGACAGTGTGACGTAGATCTGTCAGGCTTTTCACACCCTAGAGTTTTACTGTCTATTTTCTATTGTGTAGAAGACTTTTTCATGATCAGCCTGCATGAAAAATTCAGTGACCCATTATAATCAGAAATAATGATGCTCTTTAAAATTCTTTATTTCTAATATAATGTGAACAAAGAAAGCTTACCTGATACTCGTAGGACGATTAATACGCTGTGGATCAGTTGTGATCCCAACACTGGCTTAGTGTTTACTCAAGCTGTTTACCAAAAGGGAGCTGCTTCCATCTTTGACATTTGCTCACACACCGGGTTGTTTACTCTATGGGTTTGAACTGTTTATTAAAAACAAACAACTTGCATCAAGGGGAAAATGTTCATTCAATTTAGTATTTATGTCTTTTATTTATTTATTTATTTATTTATTTATATCACTGAGATTAATCTATACGAAAATGACAAGACAAAAAACCAATCATTTGTTAAAAACTCGTGGTTTCTAGGGACAAGTGATGACTAAAGATGCAACAGAAGCTGATTTTATTGTACACTGTCTAAAACCTAACACGTTTTTGTTTTCTTCCACTTTTAGAAAACGTTCACACCCAATATTATCGGCAGAAAGGTTAAAGAAGAGTAAGTCCAGAGACAAACAAAAGCACCAAATACGTCTTGACCTCCTTTATGTGTTTCACTGATTGCTGGTCTGATCTGTGGCTCACCACAGACCCAAAGTAGAAGGAGGCCAGAGGCGAGAGCGGAGGGATGCTGAGCGAGGTCGGGGCTCAAGAGATAGAGGCAGGGGCAGAGGTCGCCCAGAGGTCATCCAGTCCCACTCCATTTTTGAGCAGGGGCCTGCAGAGATGTTGATGAAAAGAAGAGGTCCAACTGTCTTTCTTTTTGAGAAAATGCAGTAACGGTTAAATATGGATAAATTGGTTCAATAAAAAGTCTTCTGACACAGGCGCTTATGAAAGTGAAAGAGATGCTCCCAGCGTGGGACCCTCGCCCATCATCAATATTAAGAAGGAGAAGAGGGAGACTGAAGAGGAGACTAAAGAGATTCTGCGCCAGCTGGAGCGAGACAACGTGAGTTTGACTCTCAAACGTGTTTTTAGTCCATTCATTATGTGTTTTAATACCTTACTTCTCCTCTTGTAGTTCATAGATGATCCCTATCTGAGAAGTGAGCAGAAGAGCTGCCCTGTGCAGCTTCCCCTTGCCGTGTCAGGATGGGGATTCAAGGAGGAATTTCTTAACTTTGCCCATAAAACTGAAAAAAAAGAGGAGGATGAACCCATGGAGTCTTCAGTGGAAGGTATTAGCAGGATATTACAACTTAACTGAGCAAAAAATAAAACTTTGTTCACTTTACCTGGTTTTCAGTGAAACAAGAGCCAGAGGAAGTGGAAATCAAAAAGACTGAAGCAAGTTTCAGGCCTCCGCCGATCCCCGAGCCAGACACTCTCGTCGACCTGCTTCAAAGATGGAGTCTGAGTAAAGGCGAGGAGCTGTTCTTCATTCAGCTGCCCGACTCACTTCCTGGCCAGCCTCCCACGAAGGAGCACAGACCGGTGAAAACGGAGGTGCAGTCAGAGGACGGGCAGTCGGTGCTTCTGAAGAAAGAGCCACAGGTAGAGATGTGAGATGTTTATTAATAACAGCATAGGTTCTGTGTGTGAACAGTCAATGGTTTTGACACAGGAAGATGAAGTGGAAGACAACAGCTGCAATCTGAAAGACTTGCGAGAAGGTCTAGTGGGAAAGATGCTGGTGAGGAAGTCTGGACGGGTACAGCTCATTCTGGGACAAGTTACTCTTGATGTGTCTCTGGGAACATCATGCTCTTTCCTTCAGGTATAACAGCATTCCATGTTTGAATATTTTCTCCACAATCTGTTAGTTTTTAGGCGTTTCACCATTCTGTTCACAAATCTCTACTTTTATCTCATTATATATAATTAATAATAAACACTTGTTCTGACTTTATTTTCTTCCTTACTGCTCAGGAGCTGGTTTCTGTTCAGACACAAGAGAAGACAGGCCACTTGACAGTTTTAGGGAATGTCAGACACAAAATGGTCTGCTCCCCAGACTTTGAGGCTCTCCTGGAGAAGAGAGCTTGATGCACTTGTGATGACAGGATGGATGGTTGGTTTGGGAAAAAAAAAACTCCCAGTTATTCCACCTTCAGTATTTTGTTTTTGTGTTTATTCTCTAAAATGTAGATTTTTATCATAAGGACTGGGTTTATTAAGTCACAAATCACAGCTGGAGTGGCATACAATGTTGTGAAACTGTTTTTGCATTTGGAATTGCTTGACGGAACTGTATAATTATGTAAATATGTTAATAAAAATGCTATTGTTATGTCTTCACTTGGATCAGAGAGATGTATGTCTTTCTTTTATGAATATGTTAGATTTTGCATCAATTTATTTTATTTGTCATCACATATTTGACAGATAAAAATGCTACTGTCACCCAGTGGCAACCTCTCCAATGCAAAAAAATATGTAATAAAACTTCTAAATTGTGCAAATGTAATTGGACTATCCTACGGAAGATAATCATTTTGCTTCCGTAGAGAATAGTACACGCAGAATGTAGGAGCTTATGTCGGCCACCAGGAGTCTGCAGACACCCGCCTTTGGGATGGCCGTCTTTTACTGCTGCCTCGAGCCGAGCGTTGTCCGCTCGTGCTGCTTGTCCGGCGGGTGGAGTCTGGCCAAGATCTGTTAAACAAAGACAAAGTGATGAACGAGCAAGGCACCACCGTACCAGCGCTGGACCAAACCATAAAGGTTACCTTTTAAATATAATATTAACTTCTCGTTACAGTTAGGATAATCGCGAGGCTTTAAGTTGTACCAAATCCACAGAAGACGTTGGCTCAGCGCGTGTACACTGCTGCTCTGTTAGCAAAGCGAGGAGGAGCAGCACTAGCGCGACGCTCGGTAGGCTTATTTTCACAACCTAGCTTGTTCCCTATATCCTACATATTTATAGTGGTGTTTCTGGACTTGAGGGTCTGCTAGGTAACTGCTAGAACCGCGGCTACTTGAACGGTTTTAGTCGGGATGTACCGTTCCGTTAGCTGTCCGGCTTCTCCATCTTCAGAGGGCACGAGGATGGAGAGGGCCTCCAGCTAACGTTATTTCTGCACCGCAGCTAACAACAGTAACATTAGATAATCTGCTCAGCCGCTGGAATTACATGTGAAATATCCACTAAACTTATGTTTGTGTATGTTTTCAAGACTAACCAAAGGTTAGCATCGAACGCCGGTGTTTGAAACGAGAATTAAAGAAGCTGACACTTGACATGTCGTTCATGATTAAATTACACGTTAGCATCCCAGGAATGAAACCTACATTGCTTTATTATAGATGGCTTCGACTAATTCGTGTGTTTTTGTAGGTCTCTGTTTGACATCAAGCTGCGGATCCTCACCAGACTAAAGGAACCACCTGCTGGTCCGGTTGTTTATGTTTCATTGTTTACATCTCCATCATCAGCAGGGCGTTTCTCTAAAACAGCAAAGGACATCTGCAACAGCACTGTTTTTTATTTTATTTTATGCTGATCAGCATCCCTCTTTTGAAGTTTTAAACTCAGAACAATTAATGGTGAAACAAATTAAGTCTACCAGTTCTGCCCTAAGGACAATGTCAGGCTGCTCTGCAGTTTTTTGTTGATTCTGCACAAAGTGTGGAGAGAAACACTTATTTTCCGGTCATGTCAACGAAGACCTTTAAGTGACAAACCCAGAGGCCACTTGGGGCCAGGAAGTGGAGAGCTGGAGTTCCTCAAGCATCAGCTCAGCCCTGCAACTTCCATTTATTAAAAAAACTAAAAAGAGTTTCCTTCTTTGCTTACAATGGAGCTCTTTTTTAACCCTTTTGATAACTTGCTTTGCATCCTGCTGGGCATCTCTTTCACCGTGTGGTTCACCTTGCTGCTGGTCTTCATTATCGTCCCAGCTATTTTCGGGGTGTCGTTTGGAATCCGGCGTCTTTACATGAAAACGTTGTTAAAGATTTTTGAGGTAAGTTTCCTGTTACTCAGTGATGCGTTTTTTAAACTTGAGTGTGTGTCGTTGCATCGTTCTGTTTGCTGCACCATTTGTAAATTTGATACATTGGATAAAGTTATGGGAATAATTTCTGTTAGACACACAGCTCAGGGCAGTTGTTAGGCGGTGGCTTCATGTTTGTTGTGTGTCCAACCAATGGCTGGCAGATCAACATCACGCCTACAGGGTATTCTTCCCCTGTAGTGTAACAAATGTTTGTTGCAAACCCCACGATTAACTGTCAGTTGTAATGCAGCTTTATGTTTTGCAGATTTTACATTTAAAAAAAAAGTAAATTTGAACTAACAAATGTACTAGCTGCTTTGATCTGGTGTAACATCACCAGTACAGCAATCATCACTTTCCATCATGTGCCCCAGAGAGAAGAGCTTGTGCCAGAAATAAATGAACCAGTGGGACATGTGAGATATGTTCTCAGCTTCTTATTCCAGTTGCTGTTCAAAGATGTTGAGATGAAAGGTCAAAGGACAGATGCAGTGCAAAGTGTGCTGAAGTTGTGTTTGCATGATTTTACACATAACACAAACCTCTGCAACACAAGTAATCCAACAACACAAGAGCTGCTTTATTGAATTGGCTGTTGCACAAAACCTGTTTTGCAGATGATTCAGAAATGTATTAGTGCTGTTTTAGACACTTTCAAAGGAGTTACTTTATTTTTTCTAGTGTATCTGCTGCAGCCACAGGTTCAGATTATTCCTCCTTTTCCTAGAAAGAACTGAGTATTGGTCTGTGCTCACTAAGAACTCTTATCAGCTGCAGCTGCGTTTGAAAAGGGTGACTCAGTTAAATGTCTTGTCACAACACATTTTAAATACAGCTGTAGCATTGAGCAATATGAATGCTGTTTGAATAGCATCGAGAAAAACAGTTATGCTCAGCAAAAATGTAGAATCTCGATTTTAAGCAATAAATGGGTCAAAGAATGCTTTTAAAGTAAATTGTTGTGGCTAAAATGAGGCTTATCACCTTAAACCCCATGTAAAAGTAGCTTTATGAATGATTATTCTGTTGGCTAATATGTAGCTGACATTCCAAACACTCCTATCTAGCATTACTGGACTTGGACACACAAACACTCAGCCTCCACACAACGTGGAATAGTTTTTTACTATCTTTGACTGATGTCGGCACACTTTAAGTTCGATGGTGTCTGCGTGTTTGCTAAATAAAACTCATCCTGCACGTTCCATTCCGTATCTCACTTGCTTTCCAGTGAGGCGAACACCGTGTACTCCAGCAGGTCTGCAAGTTTTATTGTTGATTATGTTTCAACATGCAAAGTGTGCAGAACAGACACGTCTTTCCATTTCCGCGAATCTGTGGGTGAATGTTTCACACTTGTAGGTAAACGCATTTTAAAACTACAAATATAATCACGGTAGTTTGACCTCAGTTTGTCCAAGCCCTCATCATGATGGAAATATGAAAGTTACGGCAAAAGCTGAAATAAAATAAAATTTCCAGCATGTTCAGGGCAGAATTTGACCAGTTTAAGGATCTTTACGGTTTAAAAACACACAGATTTAATGTCAACAGTGGGTTATGTTTGACTTCCTTCTGTGTTTTCTCTTCAGTGGGCCACACTTAGGATAGAGAGAGGAGCCAAAGAAAAGAATCACCACCTGTACAAACCCTACTCAAATGGTAAAATAACCACCTGTTCTCATAAGGTGTGTTGTTTATTGGTGGAAATTAACGTCTTGTCCGTCGGTACCGCTGCAGCTATCATTGCCAGGGAGCCCACCTCCTTGGAAGAGGAGATCAAGGAGATCCGGCGGAGTGGTAGCAATAAAGATCTGGACTCTGCATCCGAATTTGAGATGTCGGATATCTTTTATTTTGCTCGGCGAGGAGTGGAAAGCATCATGGATGATGAGGTGACTAAGCGGTTTTCTGCTGAAGAGTTGGAGTCCTGGAATCTGCTGACCCGCAGCAACAACAACTTTACCTACATCAGCCTGAGGTTGACCGTCCTGTGGGGGCTGGGCCTCCTGATCCGCTACGGCTTCCTGCTGCCACTCAGGTACGAACCTTCTGATCTTACAGAGACTGGCTTTCCCAGATGTAAGGAAAGCGAAGGATCTTCCCCTTTAAACTTGTTGGTAGCCAAAGTCTAACCCAGGGGTTGGAAAGAAAATTTACATTTTCATGGCTGATTTTGGATTTTGATCCCTACAAACAGATTCAGAGGATTCATCAGATTCTCTAAACGCCAAAATAATGTTTAAACCAACTCTATCTGTAGACATCCTGTCACGTGAATCTGTGTCGGCTCAGCAACGTTTTCCATAACCACCATCATTAAACACCTGGTTCACAAATGAAAGTTAAAACTGGTTTTAATGAAAACTGTTTAGAAGTGTTGATGATTTAACTTTGACACAAGCACAGAGGAGAACGTCTTTATGTGGCGATGGTGGCACAGGACTTAAGTACTCACCCCGTAATCAGAAGGTTGCAGGTATCGAGCCCCACTCAGTTTGTCACTGTTGTTGTGTCCTTGGGCAAGACACTTAACCTCCCTTGCATGCTGGTGGTGGTCGGAGGGACCGGTGGCACCAGTGCGTGGCAGACTCGCCTCTGTCAGTGCGCCCCAGGGCAGCTGTGGCTACATTGTAGCCCATCCCCACCAGTGTGTGAATGTGTGAATGACTGATTGTGTTGTAAAGTGCCTTGCGGGGTTCCTGGACTCTAGAAGGTGCTACACAGGCCCTTTACCATCTTTTATGTTTCCACATACTGTAGATTGAAGGGAGTTCTAAATGTTTACTCAAAGTAAATAAGAGATCAGGCTAATCCTATAGACATAGACAATGACTCAGTCCTGAGCAAGGTTGGCTCTTTTCCAGTCCCCGGTGAGGAGACAAGTCAGGCCAGCGCAGCACAGACGGATGTCGTCTAGTCCCTAACCCCGTCCAGTTTAACCTGTGCTTTGTCTACCCCTTGCATGAAACCGTCCGTCCCCTTTCTTGTGTTTTCCTAATCCTCTCTGACTTTAATCATCACCTTGTCCAACCCTGGATGACGAGTTCATCCAGATTAAGTCGACCTGTTAGCCATTGTTAGTGCTGCAGGCTATGTGGTTTATTACAGTGGTTTAGACAACAGAAGGGCATGAAACAACTCTCCCGGACAACACATGTTTATAGGTTTACTTCTTTACCATAAAGAGTTTCATTATTAATGTTTTCCTGTATAAAATCCTTTGCTGCTGTCTGTGCACCAGGGTTACGCTAGCCTTCACTGGTGTCGGCCTCCTCGTCTTCCTCACTTCTGTAATCGGGCTTCTCCCAAACGGAAGGTGAGATTAATTATTATAAATTTAATATAATTAACTTAAACCTGTGGTGATGAGCATGCTGTTGTATCTGCTTTCATTACAGGATGAAGAATTTCCTGAGTGAGAAAGTGCACCTGATGTGCTACAGAATATGTGTCAGAGCTCTGACTGCCATCATAACTTACCATGACAGGTAAAGAACCCACACTGGTGTCCCTGATTGGACCCCGGGCTTCTGAAAATCTGCATACATAAAACCTCACATTTAGATGATAATGTGTATTAATCTTGTAATCTCCAGAATGAAGGCTGGTTTTCTCTTAACTACTTCTGATTCTGCTTTTGATGCAGGTTTTATGCATAACTTTATCTCTCAAGTTTTCGGTGGGAATATTATTTTAGGGTTACATATTTTCCTGTCTACTTTGATAAGAAATAACATGCAGTATCAAGGGTTCCAACTAGTGACAACTAGTTCTGTAGCAACTAGGAAGCCATCTAAACTAAATCCTGCAGGCTTCAGGCATCGGGGTTTGTGCTGCTGTGTGGTTCCACAGCAGAAAAACAAGCATTCCAACATCATCAGAGCTAACTGTCCTCCTACTTTAACATGTTCTACTTGTACTTTGTCCAGGTTAAGAACATTCAGTACTTGGTGTGTACACTAGAAACTCCCGCTCAAACCTGTTGAGTACAGTATAGGGATGAGCGAGTACACCACTATCTGTATCTGTTCAACCAACTAAATTATCTGTATCTGTATCTGTACTCGGAATGGGCGTGGCATAACCCGGAAGTGGGTGTGGTTTACATCAATATATTATTTTAAGTCTGAAATTGATATGGACTGATCAGAAGTTGCTATGTGTATTGTTTATTTGAAAACTATTTACAGAGCAGCCTCAGAATTTAGATTAAATATTTTTGATCACAATAGTAAAGGAACTATTACAGAACAAGTGTTTCAATAAAATCAGAACATTAATATTTAAGTGCATGGATTAATACATCTGAACTCATGCAGTAGGAACTAGGAAATATGAAATACTAGAACCAGACACAACTTTATATATATTTTTTTAATTTTAATTTGATTAAACTGATTTTTTTCTTAACGTTCTTGGCATTTTCCCACACAAAGTTAAACAAAACAATGTTGATTAAGGTGTGTGTGTGAGAGAGAGAGATAGAGAGGGAGAGAGAGGGAGTTAAAAAAAATAAAAATAAAAAACCCGGACACGTCAGCTCTGTCTCGTCAAATGCACCACGTAAGTTACGAAAAAAGTAACTTTAAATATTCAACCGAAAAAGAGGCGAGCTGAAGAAAACCTAGGGAAAACTGAAGAAACGTGAGCAACAGTGAAGCAATCACAGCGAGATCCGTTACTGTCTGTGTGTGTGCGTGGATGAGCCGGACGGACTGCGCTCCCGGCCGGCTAGAGAGTTTTGTGTGTAGGGAGGGCCGGGCGCTCTATTTGACTGGCCAATCAAAGAGCATGAAGACAGTCAGTTACCCAATGAGGATTTTCCTTCAGCACAATTACAGATATTAACAGCTTTACTCGTTTCATGCTCGTATTCGTCAAAAATGCTTTATCCGTACCGGATACTCATCTGAAACGAGTACCCGGCTCATCCCTAGTACAGTACACCACTGATTTTATTATCCATCTCTGGTTTACCCATGAATGAATGAGTATTAATATCTTTATTGTCACTGAAACATGATTGACATAAATAGATGCAGCCCCTATGGCATTAAGCGATGTAAACAGGAACAAAGGACATAACTATAAGAGGGATGTACACATAGTCCATGTGAAAAGGTACAATTCAGGTCAATACAGGCTGAACTGATTTAAAAAAATTGGAATTTGGGAGAAAAAAATATCAAATTTTGCCTTTTTAAACAACAAACATCACATGACATTTTAAATTCATCCTGAGATAGAGATTTAAAAATGGAATATCGGTGACTTAGTTTTAATGTCAACAAGTTCCTCTATATCATCATTATTTGTTTCTTGTACAAAAACTATAACGTCACACAATTTATGGCAGGCAGGGATTCAGACACCACAGTGCTGCTGTTAGCAAGCAGACTAAATTACACAAAGGTAACGTGTCTCCTCAGGAAAGCAAAAATGTCTTCAGCATGGTGGTGTTTTAAACCGGACAGCGAAGGCAGAGCAACAGACACTTGTAATGTGTGCTTACTGAGCATTCTACATGCTGGAAAATACACAGCACCATGATTCGCTGCCTTCAAACAGGCTACTTTCACTTTTGTTTTTTCTCTTCAGGCATCAACAAAGCAAATCACCTGTCTCCGTTCATTCCCAGATTGACATTAACAGTCCCAGTTCACAGCAAACTAAGACAAAAACGTGAAGCCAGTCGAACAGAGAAAGGTACGCTAATAAACAAAGAAATTGCCAACAGACTGCAAAGTATCTGGGTTTCTTAAAGAGCAAGTCAATCCCCTACCAGAGTTACGCCTGGAACACACCAGATGAGGAAGTGGGACGATGCACAGTGAAGCATTGTAAACATTGCAGTAGTACACAAATTAAAGTATTTTGAATTTAAGACACTGATGGAGACCTCAGATGTTATCGCATCATTTGGCTGCACTTATGTTTCTATTTGTCAGGTTAGACATTTCACTAGATCAGCTTCAACACATTTTTCTATCTAAATAAATACATTGCCGGGCCATAAAAAAAAGTTGCCACCAAATAAAAAGGTCACACACTCTAATATTTTGTTGGAACCCCTTTAGCTTTGGTTACAGCACACATTTGGTGTGGCATTGTTTTGCATTAATGTTTCACCAAGATCTTGCATTGATGATGTTAGAGTCTGACTGCTGCACAAAGCCTTCTCCAGCACATCTCAAAGATTCTCTATGGATTTGAGTTCTGGACTCGTGTGAAAATGATGTCTCATGCTCCCTGAACCACTCTTTCACTATCTGAGCCCAATTCACTCTGGCATTGTCATTTTGGACAACTGGGGAAGATTGAACAACCTGGGGCCTCATTTATCAAGCTTGCTTACGCACAAAACGGGGTCGGAAAACTGCATAAGCAACTTTCCACACAAACTTTGGGATTTATGAAAGAAAACTTAGAGGGAAAACGTGCGCAACTTTAAGTTGACTAAGGACCTTGCTTACGCACATTTTGGACATGGAGAGCACCTGCAGTGCTGCTGCTGAGAAGGATAAAATTATGAAATCCTGCAGCATTATCACTTGTACTGCTTCATTTTCACACAGAACAAGACACACACACACACACACACACACACACACACACACACCCTGAAGCGCAGAATACGGAGTGCAGAAAATCAGGAGGGGGACAGATTGAGACAGAATGTCATGCGCCTGTGACAGTGTGAGTGTCCTGTTACTGTGACCTGATTGATCATGCGCCCTGGCTACTTGGACAAGGATGATCTCTGTTTGGCTGACTGATTAGCGTGCGTGACTTTCACCTGGGAGTCTGGGGATCGAATCCTGATCAGATCATTTTTTTATATCCGCCACAGATCTCTTTGAAGAATTCACAACATTGACGGCTTCAGCAACGCTGTGCCACTCCGTGGATTTTGTCTTATTTGTTTTGCAAAAGCACTTCCTTTCATTTCTCCACCTCACCCACTAGTACCTCAATTTCTACTTGTGAAATAGCGCTTCCTTGATCTGTGGTCGTGCTCGAAATGCTGCAAAAAGCCGGCTTATGTATATGCATGAGATCCACAAGGCACTTTGCATTGACTATTTATGGCAGTAAGTAGGCGTGGTGAGGGCGGGATGTGACTAAAAAGCAGCTGAGAACATTTGTAGATAGTTTCTGATTCATGAAGCGGAGACTGTGTGCAGGCTGTGCGTACTCCATGTTTAATAGATCACAAACCTACTTGGCATAAGTACTTTTTTTTTGCTGAGATTAAGTACGGTTTTAGTAAGGATTGTACGCAATGTTTGATAAATGAGACCCCTGTTCTTTTAGTATATTCAGATAGTCAGCTGACCTCATTATTGGAGCACATCCTGTTGCTGAACCTAGACCTGACCAACTGCAGCAACCCCAGATCATAGCACTGCCCCCACAGGTTTGTACAATAGGCACTAGGCATGATGGGTGCATCACTTCATCTGGCTTTCTTCTTCCCTGATGCACCATCACTCTGGAACAGGGTCCATCTACACTCATCAGACCAGTTTTTAATAAAGCGTTGGACAGTTCTTAACTCAGTTTTAGCCGTTTCTTCAATCTCCTTAGGTGTTTTCTCTGCTTGATGCCAATGATCTGACCCTTTTCAGACTAACATCTTTTCCACCACCAGATGTAGATGTGTCTTTCCACATGCTTGTTTAAGAAATGAGAAGCAACTCATTGCACCAGTTGGAGTTAAATAGCATTTTTCCAGCTGAAAGATAATCATCCAATGCTGTGACTTCTTTCTTTTTTTTTTTTGGACAGGCAGTGTAGGTTATTTTTTTATTTTCAAACTTGATGCCCCTGCTACTCTGATGGGAGTACAGGGGTCGCACATCTTATTTCATATTGATGTTAGAGGGGCTGCTTATAAAAGCACCGCTGTGTTTAATGTGATATTTACAATGACTTTGTAAATGAGGAAAAGGTAGTGTTTAAATTACAAATGTGGAAACCCAAGAGGAACACGCAACGAGAGGCAGCTGTTATCTAGACGGTGGTGCACCTAACAGGATGTGGAGGAGGAAGCGTAGGCTTCAGCTACTCGGCTCATGAAGTTTAGTTTTAATAGCTGCTCGGTTTTAGCTTGAGCTCTGCAGGCTCAGTGTTTACATATGAAAATAAAATGTCAGAAGTGACTGATGGAGCTCCAGCGATGAGACAAAGTGCTGTACGTTTTCCTGTGGGGTTTCAGATTAGCCACCATTTAGGCTTGGTCTGTTCAGTGTGTTCCTTTCCAGTGTGAGGCTAAAAATAATCAGCTGACTCAGAAAATGTTGCTCTCTCTTTCTGACTGTAACTTTATCTTTGGAACGTAAACTGAGTGCATGTAGGTTATGCTCGTTTAGGTCAGAGCTTTTATCAGACATCGGGCCTTTGTTTGGCTTCTGAAGAGGGAAGTGGCCGTGGCGTGAACCAGATCTGACTCTGTTACAACAGGCTTCGCACTGGCTTCCTGGTTCTATTCCACATCATATTTTCACACACCTGTATACACAGCACCACCTTGTTTACCATTCATATCATCCATAAAAAGCTTTTGTAATGCACATAACTGTTTTTTTCTTTTTCTTTATGCTGTCACAGTGAGAATAAACCCAAGAATGGAGGCATCTGTGTGGCTAACCATACCTCACCCATTGATGTCATCATCCTGGCCAGTGACGGCTGCTATGCCATGGTAATTGTAATGCATTTGAGCTGGAAGCAACAAAGAAAAATATATCACTACTGTTTGTTTTTTATTGCAGCTGACATTTGATGTTACTCTTGTTCTATTAATATGTTCTATTTGTGTTGCTAGGTTGGGCAAATTCATGGTGGCTTAATGGGAGTCATTCAGCGTTCCATGGTCAAAGCATGTCCACATGTTTGGTTTGAACGCTCAGAAGTCAAAGACAGACACCTAGTGGCCAAAAGGTAGCATTTCACTTACTGGTTTTCTACTTTCCTCCAGTTTATCATCTTATATGCTTTTGACATTGAGTAAAAATGCAAGAAAAGGGGAACTTTAATGAAATGTTACTGTCTTCAGATTTGTTTTGTAAGGAGCTTTTCTGTTGCTGCAGATTGAGTGACCATGTACAAGACAAATCTAAACTGCCTATTCTCATTTTCCCAGAAGGTAGGCATGTTCACTAAATAACATAGATAATAGTTGTGTTTAATAAGTGTTAATTTCTTATTTTAATCTGTCTCAAATCCTCAGGTACCTGCATAAACAACACATCAGTTATGATGTTTAAGAAGGGCAGTTTTGAGATTGGTGCTACAGTCTACCCTGTGGCTATTAAGGTATTATTTCTGGTTTTATCTGTAATTTAGCAACAATGATGTTTTTACCTGTCCTGTGCACATGTGTTTATAAACTCCTTTAATGTGTTTCCCACAGTATGACCCGAGATTTGGAGACGCGTTTTGGAATAGTAGCAAGTTTGGAATGGTCAGCTACCTTTTACGTATGATGAGCAGCTGGGCCATCGTCTGCAGCGTGTGGTACCTTCCTCCCATGTCTAGAGAGGTCAGACCGCATCTGATTTGTGCTTAATCTGTTCTGTATGTTATGTTGCTGTTTGCATCCATGACTTTATCCTTATTGTAGAAGTGGGCCCTTTGTTTTCATATCACGATTAATGAAAAATCATATTGGTTTTACAGGTTTTTTTCCATACTAGATAGTTCTTACCCCCATTATTTTCCAATGTTTTTGTTTGCTTTCCCAAATCAAGCCTGTTTCATTCTGTAATAAATTCTGAAAGTTCAGATTTTCCTAAACAAAGCAAACAAACAGGTCACTATTAATTAGCCTGTTGAAAAAAAGCACTTTCTTGGAATCAAAATGTGTTATTAAAATTCCCAGACATCATATGTTAATTTCACATGTCAAACGGGATCTAAAAATAACTTTTATTGGCCAATAGACTCACATTCAATTTTTGGCATTAGGGGACCCATGGACTGGAAGTAGATGGGCATGACTTAACCTCCCTATTTACACGAAATTTCTGTGTGAAACAGCGCGTAGTTAACACATTAACCATGTGTTGTTTGCACATTTTCACAGCATTGTTTTCTTGTTATTTCCATGTTAGCTGGTTAAATTTACATACATTTCTCGCTCAAAGTGTATGTTGTTGCATTGTTTGTGCAATAGGCGCAAGAAATGTTGCATGTTTTTGGACCAACTGGCGTTCTATATATCCATCCATCCATCCATCCATTTTCATCCGCTTATCTGGAGTCGGGGCAGTAGCCTAAGTCGAGAGGCCCAGACTTCCCTCTCCCCAGCTACTTGGGCCATCTCCTCTAGGGGAATCCAAAGGCGTTCCATGCCAGGTGAGAGACATAGTCCCTCCAACGTGTCCTGGGTCTACCTTTAGGCCTCCTCCCAGTTGGATGTGCCCGGAAAACCTCACCAGGGAGGCGTCCAGGAGGCATTCTAACCAGATGCCTGAGCCACCTCAACTGGCTCCTCTTGATGTGGAGGAGCAGCGGGTCTACTCCAAGCCCCTCCGGGATGACCGAGTGTCTCACTCTATCTCTAAGGAAGAGCCCAGCCACTCTTCGGAGAAAACTCATTTCAGCCGCCTATATCCGCAATCTCATTCTTTCGGTCACTACCCAAAACTCATGACCATAGGTGAGGGTAGGAACGTAGATCGACCAGTAAATCGAGAGCTTCGCCTTCTGACTCAGCTTTCTCTTCACCACGACAGACCGGTACAACGCCCGCATCACTGCAGCTTCAGCACCTATCCGCCTATCAATCTCACGCTCCAGTTTTCCCTCACTCGTGAACAAGACCCCGAGATACTTAAACTCCTCCACTTGGGGCAGGACCTCATCCCTGACCCGGAGAAGGCATTCTACCCTTTTCCGAATCAAGACCATGGTCTCAGCTTTAGAGGAGCTGATTCTCATCCCAGCTGCTTCACAATCGGCTGCGAACCGCTCCAGCGAAAGCTGAAGATCACATTCTGATGAAGCCAACAGGACCACATCATCTGCAAAAAGCAGAGACCTGATCCTCAGGCCACCAAAACGGATGCCCTCCACACCTTGGCTGCACCTAGAAATCCTGTCCATAAAGGTTATGAACAGAATCGGTGACAAAGGGCAGCCTTGGCGGAGTCCAACTCTCACTGGTAACAAGCCCGACTTACTGCCGACAATGCGGACCAAGCTCTGACATCGGTCATACAGGGACCTAACAGCCCGTATCAGAGGGCCTGGTACCCCATACTCCAGGAGTACCCCCCACAGGGCCCCCGAGGGACGCGATCAAATGCCTTTTCGAAATCCACAAAACACATGTTGACTGGATGAGCAAATTCCCACGCACCCTCCAGGATGCCCCCTAAGGGTATAGAGCTGGTCCAGTGTTCCACGGCCAGGATGAAAACCACATTTCTTCTCCTGAATCTGAGGTTCGACAATCCGATGGACCCTCCTCTCCAGAACCCCTGAATAGACCTTACCAGGAAGGCTCACGAGTGTGATCCACCTGTAGTTGGAACACACCCTGCGAGGTCCCCCTTTTTAAATAAGGGAACCACCACCCTGGTCTGCCAGTCCAGTGGGACTGCCCCGGATGTCCACGCAATATTGCAGAGCCGCGTCAGCCAACACAGCCCCACAACATCCAGAGCCTTAAGGAACTCCGGGCAGATCTCATCCACCCCTGGAGCCTTGCCACAGAGGAGCTTTTTAACCACCTCAGTGACCTCAGCACCAGAGATTTGAGAGGCCAACCCAAAGTCCCCAGACTCAGCTTCCTCACTGAAAGACGTGTCTGTGGGATTGAGGAGGTCTTCGAAGTATTCTGCCCACCGATCCACAACGTCCTGAGTAGAGGTCAGCAGCACACCGTCCGCTCTATAGACAGTGTTGGTAGCGCACTGCTTTCCCCCCCGAGGCGCCGGATGGTGGACCAGAATCTCCTCAAAGCCGTAGGGAAGTCTTGCTCCATGGTCTCACCGAACTCCTCCCATGCCCGGGTTTTTGCCTCGGTGACCACCCGAGCCGCATTCCGCTTGGACTGCTGGTACCCATCAGCTGCCTCTGGAGTCCCACAGGCCAAAAAGACCTGATAGGACTCTTTCTTCAGCTTGACAACATCCCTAACCGCCGGTGTCCACCAGCGGGTTCGGGGGTTGCCATCACGACAGGCACCAACGATCCTGCGACCACAGATCCGGTCGGCCGCCTCAACAATGGAGGCACGGAACAGGGTCCATTCAGACTCAATGTCCCCCGCCTCCACGGAACGTTTTGGAAGTTCTGTCGGAGGCGGGAATTGAAGCTCCTGACAGGAGACTCTGCCAGACATTCCCAGAAGACCCTCGCGATACGGTTGGGCCTGCCTGGTCTCAGGGGTTCAAAACCTGTATAGACTTTTTATTTAAACCGGTAGTTTTTCCGGAAAGCAGTCGAAATCTCAGAGATTTCTGAAAAAAACACCTGACCAACCAGTGGTCAGATGTGGAAGAGATGGCATCCACACAGAAATACAAATAAGGAGCAAGCACAAGAAATAAAAAGTCAAAACCAGAGGAGGAGTGTATTGTTGGAACAAAAAGAAAAACTTTGTGGGCATAAACATCCCAGCTGCTGTTCATAAGACAGAAGAAAGAATAATTGTGTCTGGACGTGGACTGATAATGAAAATTTACAGCAGCCCTCATTATCATTCGTTAAATTCAATTCAGTTTATTTATGAAGTGCTGTTTGTTTTCTACTCTTAGTCATCAATGTTATCTGTAGTTCATGGTACCAGTTTTTACTGTCTTAGTTTTAGTCTCCTGACACCTTCAGCTTAATCTTTGTTTTCACTTACTTAGTCATTCCTGTCTGACCACATTTAGTTCTCTTCAAAATGTTTTATTGATGTTATGTTAGTCTTCTAATTTTAGTATATGTAATTCCATTGTTCATCTTTGTGTTTCTGTTCTTATTGCTGTAAAGCACATTGATTTGCCTTTGTGTAGGAAATGTGCTATATAAATATACAATATAACTAAGCTGTCTTGTCTAAATACCGACAAGAGTCGTCTCAAGGCACTTCACAACGTAAACATTCCAATACAGGTCAGTTCATTAAGCCAGTCAGTTAAAAGTTTCCTATATAAGGAACCCAGCAAATTGCATAGAGTCTGTGACTGGTGTCGGAGTCTTTACAGCAATCCTCATACTAAGCAAGCATTTAACGACAGTGGAGAGGAAAACTCCCTTTTAACAGGAAGAAACCTCCAGAGGATCCGAATAAGTAGCCATCCGCCATGACTCGCGACTCATTTAAATGTCTTTTTAGATGCATAAACCTTCATCTCTGTCTTAAATTGTCTTTGGTTCATAGCCTTTCAATCCATGCTATCAATAGTATTAATATTATTGGTGTATATATAAATAATATGTAGGAAAACATCCATACATATTGGCCTAAGTCTATTTAGAGAGAGAGGATTTCATATTGTAACATATCATTAATTCGTATCTACATTAGTTTCATTGTGTTATTTTCCATTTAGACCAACATAAATCTTAATCTGCCAGTATGATGGATTTCTGGTTACAGCTGCTTCTGCTGAGCGAAGCTTGTCAACCTGAGAGTAATCTGTAGCACAGGAACACCTGAGTAGCGTGGCTGTCATCAGCTCAGCTCAGAAGTAACACGGCATCAGATGATCTCGTATATGTCTTTGCATTAGGAAAAAGGAGATGTTTGCAAAAGCCTCTTCTATTGTTGAAAGAGGCAGCTCATTTTATACGAAGTTGTAAAGCTCAGTAATCGTCCTTTTGCAATGATGTGTGTGTGTGTGTACACACGGGGGGGGCGGGGCATGACGCTTAGCCTGGCGGGTGGCCAAGCAAAGCCTGGCGGGCCGCCAGGCTTATAAAGCGCTGGGGGAAACCCTGCACACACATAAATACTAAATGTTTCTTTTCACCAGCTGTGGTGTTGGGGTGTAGCAGTGAAATTGGTCCCCACTGAAACAGTTTCCCTCTGTGAATGTTTTGGACGTTGTCTATGTGATTCACCAGTATAGCACAATCCCTATTCATAACAAGCTCCCTGCAAAGGTTTTATCATTTTGTCTTTAAAAAAGTTAAATTGTCCATTCAGAGTATAGTAACAAAGTTGATATGACAGTAGGTCCAGCATGTGTGCAACTTCTCTCACAGTTCTGTTTTCTGTGACCTGACTTTGAACAAAGATATTATTACTATCAGTGCACTGAATTACCGGTATTTATGACAGCCACTGGTTTGCCAGCTTTATATTCATATCAGTCATCTTCCAACAGGAGGGAGAGGATGCGGTACAGTTTGCTAATCGTGTAAAAGCAGCCATAGCCAGACAAGGTGGACTGGTTGACCTCCTGTGGTAAGTCACCGGTCTCATACAAAGCATCTGGATGATGATTTGTTCATTCTGCAAATTCTTAGTTGTTTTTTTCACTGAAACCTTTATATCTAAGCAGGATTAAAGTTTGTTTATGTAGAACAAAAACTATTTGAGGCTGATTTGGGGTTTCATCCATCCATTTTCTGAACCCGCTTTGTCCATGTGGGGTCGCGGGGTGGGGGGGTGCCTATCTCCAGCGGTCAACGGGCAATCAGACGGGGTACACCCTGGACAGAAAGCCAGTCCATCGCAGGGCAACAGGGCAAATAATCACACACACACACACACACACACACACACACACACACACACACACACACACACACACACACACACACACACACACACACACACACACACACACACACACACACACCTAAGGGCAATTTAGACAGACCAATTAACCTGACAGTCATGTTTTTGGACTGTGGGAGGAAGCCGGAGTACCCGGAGAGAACCCACGCATGCACAGAGAGAACATGCAAACTCCATGCAGAAAGATCCCAGGCCGGGTAGCGAACCCAGGACCTTCTCACTGCAAGGCAACAGCTCTAACCACTGTGCCACTGCGCAGCCCTGATTTGGGTTTTACATAGTTATATAGCTTCTCATTGGAAGAGGATTGATCTTCGCTCTGCTTTTTTGTAGGGATGGAGGACTGAAGCGAGAAAAGGTAAAAGATACCTTTAAAGAAGAGCAGCAAAAGCTGTACAGTAAAATGCTGGTGGGCACCCAGGAAGACCGCAGTCGCTCCTGAACTCTTCATGGAGGTGGACTTACTCAGAGACCAAGCTGGACACCTCTGACCACATGAACAGTCAGCAGGAGTCCTTCTCTACTGGAGCTTCTGGGCTGGATGTTCCTCCTCCTGATGTCAACCTTTGGCCATTTGGCTTCTTCAGCCTCAGCCTGGCATGTTGAGATGCATCGCTGTTCTGAGGTCTGCAGCAACCCCACGATGGAAAAGCTCAGTTAAAGCCTTGCTTGCATTAGAAAAGACGATGTGTAACAAAAAGTCTTCCGTGGTGACACCTATTGGTATCTATAGCTGACTTCTTTGTTTTATAGTGGAAACTTTCATTTTTAAGACGTGTTTCACACTGTGTTGAAATTACAGACGGGATTACACCAGGAGCAGAGACGTGGTGGTTTGTTTTAAACCTAAACCTGTGGCAAGGCCCTTCTGTATGTGGTAAAAAGCCAGACTTTGTTAAAGTTAAGATATTTTTATGAGCCTTTTCCAGGAGAATCTTCTTTTAGATTTTTCTTTTAAACAAAGGCGTTATAAACATGTCGGAGCTGCTTTGCAAAAAAAGCTCCTGATCTGTTGGCTTCATGTTTTCCATGGATTGTGAACTTCCTCACAGTATGAAGTGGAATTTGTAAAGAGGTTCATATAATTTCTTCATAAATGATTTCATTTATTTATTTTAGCTTTGTGCTTTAAAAGCACATGGCACACAAGTACACGCACGCACACACTATTGTCCCTCACTCTGCTCTTCTGACTGAAACTTAGTTTTAAATGGAGATCAGCTGATTGGTAAACCCCCATTAGCCCCCTATCTGTGTGGTTTCCATATTGCTTCACTTATTTTCAGTGAACTCTAAAAGCTTTTATCTTTATTTCTCCTCATGAAAGACCTTTCTCCTACTTGGCATCCTGTGACGTTCAGCTACAGCGTTTTACTCCAGTCCTTTATTATTCTAGTTTGGTCTCATCAAGGATGGTCATTGGGTGGTGTCAAATCAGTTCGTTTAAATAAATGTTCAAGAAAATGACTTCTTTTTTCTGGTTTACATCTGCTGATTAGAGCTAAATTAGAGGTTGTTGCGTTACTCATCTGGCATTTTGTGTTAGGCTTAAAAAGTGTCACTGTGGAAATAACAAAGGAATTTTGGACAAAAATAACCGTTTCAGTGTTAATCAGATGCACTTCTCACACCAAAACTAGCCTTGGCCAGGCTTGTATCACAGAGGAGGCGGTTTGACATCAGAATGTGCTCAGACACACATTCTAGATGACAATTCTGTTACCAGATCTGGATTTTTACTATGAGATTTCCTTAAATGGGATTGTGCTTTATCCAAACGTCTGTTCTGTCCTGACCTTTCTCAGGGAGTTATTTTTTCCCCTGAACAGTTTTTGTTTCCACTCTGCTGTTAGACATGTCAGCGTTCTTTAGCTTCTTTGTTGCAATCGTTTCAAATGGATTTGTTGACATTGATAAATACAGCAAACTGTCCTTGGAGGAGGTCTAAGAAGCTTAAACGCTTGGTTGTAACCCCTGTGGTGGTTTAACAGCATACTAACGGTGCTTCGGAGAGACCGAGTCAGGCAGCCAAAAATCAGTTTGACCCATTTATGTATGTATGTTGGATACAGAAGGATGTTCTTTAGTGGTGACTGGATTTGTCCAGAACTGCTCTGACGGTGAGTTTTTGCACAATCATGGCAGTTTTAGTCACAATAAGACTGTTGATCTAATGTGTTAATCTAAATCATCACCAGTTTAAAAACCAGACACTTCTTTTTCATTCTTACCAATACAATGGAAAGTCCTCAGCTCAAATAATGTCATATTGAAAGAAAACACTGTGATAAACGACTTCCTGTTTTGTGCAGTTGCACAGTGACTGAAATTAGTCACAGTGTAGCCAGCCTATAGTATTTTCTGACTTTAACTTCCTCATCCAGTTGATTTATTTGTAGGGATAGTCACATATGCCGCTATAGTAAATAAGTCATTTATTCAGTTTATGGCAATTGTAACATAAACAGAGGTGGGTATCTTAAATGTGATTCTGAAATGGTGTTAACATACAATAAATGGTCCTTACCAGGTGTTTGGAGTAGGCTAAACTGCCAAATAAGTCTCAGTACCAAGACATCGTCATGCTCCAGTCAAATTCTTACAAAAAACAGATGTGGCATTATGGAGATGCTGACTTGGTGCCATGTTTAGCTTTTTTGTGTATTTATCTAAGTTTGTTGTAGTTATTACGTAGTTAACACGAGGTTAACTTTGAACTCGACACCTAAGACTGCAGCGCTGAATGGGAGGAGCACCGGGGGATCCTAACCCGACACACTCAACTTTGCTCCGGTTATTTGAGCGCTCGTGGAGGCGGCAGCAGCAACAGATGCCCAGCCTAGACTCCCTTGCTCCGTTAAATCCAATTAACCCGGAGAAAAAGGAAAATCCTCGAATGTCGCGCGGGTTCGAGCACGAGCGCGGCTCCGCTGTGCTGTGACGTTCTGCCACGACAACCCGCTATCGACTGAAGAGTCGGAACCACAACACTCGAGCTGCTGTCACTGAGATGATGTGCGGTGTATTTTGAGCGGCAGATGATAGACGCAGTTTTCGGCTCACTCGGCTAATCCCGTTTAAACTCGCGCTCTCAGTTTTGCTGCAGTTGGCCTGTTCTGCACGCGCGTCACCTGGCAACGCCACGGAGTCCCCCCCCCCCTCGGCGGACTTTGTAAAAAGCTGCTGGTTAACAACATGGACCGATTCGCCGATGTGCTTCTGGTCACCGCGAACGTGGGCTCGCTCTTTGATCACGTAAGTAAACCGGTCGAACTACTGGATTAGGTGCGCTGCACCTCTGCTGGATAAGGGAAACAGAAGATAAAGTGTGCTAATTTAGAGGTGTACTAAATTCACCTGCTACCATATAGGTGCTCTCAGTCGCTTGTTACACATCTGTGTCTCACGTTTATCAAGCATTTAATACTTAAATCGGTTGTTTCAGTTAGCGGTACCTGCAGCAGTGCTCTTCCGCGGTCTCTGAAACCATGAAAGTGCAAGGAGCCATCATTACCTGTCTAGGAGTCACGTGACCTCATGCTTGTCAAAATGCCGCGGTGTAGTTCCAAACACAAACAAGGAATTCCCAACATTGGCTTTTCTTTATTATTAAAACGAACCTGATACATTAAACTTATTACATTTACCCACTTTAATTTACTACCATCTTCAGTCGTTAAGTGGACAAACCTCCGCTCGTATGAGTGGCTAAAAATGTTGAAATTATTTTTCCCTTTTTTAAATAAACAACTTCAGCTGCGCTCAATTCTATACAAATTAAATCACTTTGAGGATTTTAAGCATTGGAATAACAGCTTGAACACTCCATATTATTTTTGTAATTTATAAAAAAATAAAAATAAAAAAACCACGAAAAAATGTGTTGTTTTCCCCAAAAAAGGTTTTTTGTCAGTCGGGCATGTAAACAAACCAGTTTAGGTTATGTGAAGAAATGGAGTAAATATTGATTTCTTATTATTAGTTTCCATTTAGCAACATATTTAAACTGACCTCGTGGTTGTCACTTAAGGGCAAAACACTCCAATTGACTCCCATTCAAACTAGTTTTTGATCCTGCAGCCTCTAAACAATTTATACATATTTTACAGCGTTTTTGTCCTCTAATGATTCAAGTGCATTGTGTTTTTTCATAGTGCTCTGTTAGTCTATTTTCAAAGTGACAATTTTAATTAAAAAATGGGTTTAGAATAATGTTCTGTTAAAAACATGTGTACCATTAAATGGATGATGAATAGGGAAAAACAGCCCAAATGGACTAAAATGTCCCTAAAGATGCCAGAAGGTTAAACTTAAAGAGCAAGTCACCCCCAAATCTACTTTTTTTCTGATAAACTATATAAATGTGTGTCTAATCGTGCTGCAGACACTTGTAGTCAGTATTTTGCACTTTAGTGCATTTTAGTTAAAATTTAAATTTTCTGCCTAAAACTGTCAGTGTTGTGCCGTTGTCAGGTAAAAACTCTGCACTGCATTTGAATTTAAATTTGCCATCGCTATTGGCTAAGAGGTAGCTGGTACCATATGATGTCACAATGTCATTGTTAGCCTGTGTGTGTATTTGTTAGTGGCTCCGCCCTCTCGGTCTGCTAGGTAACAGCATTTGTTGCATTTTTCAAACAGGAAGTGGAAGCGGAGTAATACTCTGGTAGGGGGTGACTTGCTCTTTAAGGAAGAACTTGTTTGGATTACTTGTCTGTTCATGTTAAAGAGACATCTTGTTATTTGTTCAAATTATGATGAAAGAAAATTTTTTAGTGTAACAACAAAACTCACATCACATGCCAGCAACTGCCCTGAATTCTGTTTAACTAAGAGTAAACACTTTTAACAGGTTCATCAATGTCCAAGGTTGGTTTTCTCTGAATGATCACGACCTCTCAACCAACAGCTTTTATTGTTAGCACTTGTTTGTGTTACTCAATTTATAATTTTTAACCAAGCTGATGACGTTTGTATCATAATCGCTATAGTCCCATATTTAAAAAAAAAGAGGCAATTCATCACTTTTGATTGTTTTGACTTAGAAGGGCTTAGCAGAGCTTTTAAACTCTGCATGCAGAAGGGTCATGGAAATCTGGCTCGGGACCACATTTCCGTTGAGCAGAGTTGGCTCAAATGAATACACACAAGATCCCAGCATTAGAAATACATAAACAGACGAATATCCCCTCTCCAGGGGACCCTCTGTTCCGGTAAACAAACACGCTTGGGCATTCATTAGGAACAGGAACTTAAGCACATGTCAGAATAAATCCTATTGCCACAATACTGGCCAAACTTAGGGCTTGTTGGAGCAGCTCATCAAGTAAAAGCCTAACCCTGGTTTCAACTTTCAGGATACATGATACGTATTATGTAAACATCTGAGATATATATGTAAATATATTAGTATCATCTAAAATATCACTTGTAGATTACGATTATTGCCTGCGGGCAAAACGTGGAGGTCTTGTTTGACGAACCACTCGACTGATTTTATTGAAACTCACAGAAATGATCAATATATCGACCACTGGTTAAATTTTGGAATGCGCCTGATTCTGTCCAATTTACAGATGTGGTAAACGCTATAAAAACAATAACCAAATACATTCAGATCACATGAGATCTTGCTTATTTTGAATACTGGACTAAAATAACTTTAACTCCATTATTTCTCATGCAAGTTAGGTTGATCCTAAACTCTGCTGTGAAATGACGTGGATCAGATGCATTCCTTCAAAGCCTGCAAGTTCTTTAATCACTGCCCTACATGCTTGGTCTTGCTCTTCTATGCAATGCTCACGTTGAGCCTTTTGTGATGATTCCATCCTTCTAATGTGCAACACTCTCCTGATATTTCACAAGCAAACAATGTAAAATAAATTGTGATTATAAAAACATACCCTACTCTGATCATTTTTTGAATTAAATTTCAGGGACAGAGCTGTTTTTAGAGATTTTTTCCGTGCCATCAAAGCTGAGCTGTCATGCAAATATCATGCAAAGCCATTTCCCTGTCCACACGAAGGCCTCTGTGTAATTAACTCTATTATACTTAAAGGGAGATGACATTATACCTATAATGGAAAGTTCAAAATTATATTTAAAAGATTCACACAAGATGAACTCAACTTTCACAAGTTTACATTTGGGAACCTGGAAATATCATTTACTTCATTATCCTTACAATAAAAAAAAGGTCAAAAACTGAAGTAGAAGAGCTTGGAAATGGAGAGGTAGAAATGTTCATAAAAACAGATGCCTGCTTCTCATATACACTCAACAAAAATATAAACGCAACACCTTTGTTTCTGCTCCGATTTTTCGGATCAGCATCTTGATGTGGCACACCTGTGAGGTGGGATGGATTATCTCAGCAAAGCACAGGTGCTCACTATAACACATTTAGACTGATTTGTGAACAATGTTTGAGAGAAATGGTAATATTGTGTATCTGGAATGAATTTTAGATCTTTTAAGTCCATCTCATGAAAAATCGGAGGAGAAACAAAGGTGTTGCGTTTATATTTTTGTTGAGTGTATGTTTCACTGATCACACACCTGACAGCTGGTCATGAATTTTAAAAAAGGCCTTCTCAGGTCATTTGCAATAGTTTTAGGTGCAGCTGTACTGCAGAGAATTGATATCCTGGATGTTTGATGTTTCCGGGCAAGTTTAATTTGCTTATAGTTTCGTTCCTCACATTGCTTACGTCCTTGTGGCCTGCTTTTCTGTCAGACAACTAATACACTTTTATAGCTAAAGTTCTCTATTCTTTTTGTCTAATACTGTATGTTGATAATCAATAGATTAATAGATCCCCTCGGTTGCCTCTGTCACGCGTGAGCCTCTGGTCAGCTACTTTGTAGCTCATCTAAACCAGGGTGTGAATGTGTGTGTGTGTGTGTGTGTGGGTGAGAGAATGACTGAATGTGTTGTAAACATCAACATTCATATATGGACAATGGGTTTCCATAGGCTCCAATAACAAGTTTTTGAAGATAAATGGGAGGTGGCCACCACCGCCATTTTGACCGTGTCACAGGTTCCGTCAAGCCCAGACAATTCCACAAAAGGGAAGAGAGGTGGAGCTGAGGGTGGGGCTGTAAGGCTGGGATCAATTGACGACACCCGGTCGAACTAGCTACAAGCTTACCTGAAGCTAACCCAAAGCTAACCTGAAGCTAACCCAAAGCTAACGCTGAGGTGGGAGCTAAGCTAACGGAGGTAGCAACCTACTGTAGCTACAACCAGAGTTAACTGTGCACAACACCAGAGCTTCGGAGTCAGAGATACGCCGGGCTGACCGCTGGGTAAAACCGGGTGGAACACAGAGGTCTCCCGAGACCTCCACAAGCCGGCAGCCACACAGCAGACAAGTGCCGCTGCGATCTGAGATGCGCCGAGCTGCCACCGGGGAGAACCGGGTGGAAAGGTTTCCATCCCAGAGCTCCACAAGCCAGCAGCCCGCGCAGCAGACAGAAGCCGCGATCAGACAGAGATGCGCCGAGCTGTGGGGAGGGGAGAACCGGGTGGAAAACATCGGTCTCCCGAGAGCTCCACAAGCCAATAGTCAGAACCCAGCTCCACCAACATGTTATATTTCAACCCATTTTCTAAAGTGCAGCATTATGTTAAATGCACTGGGTTTACCCTATTACATTTAAATGTCATGGTTAAACAGTACATGTTAAAATCTAAGCTCAGCTCGGCAGTGACCTAAAATACATAAATATAATTTTACCTACCGAAAAAAATGAAGTGGAGACTCCTTAGATGCTCTATTAGTGCAATTAATGCCACAGCAAGTCAGTTTGTCCAACAATTGCACAAATAATATCCAAAAAAAGAACGCACAAACGGCACAACTAATGGTCTAAGTTGAGAGACTGAAACTGACGGAACAGTTTTCAGGAGAGGCCGAGGCTCGGACTGAGGCCTTTCCCCGGAGCTTGCTCTGTGGTCACATGGGTCTGATGCTCATTAATTATACAGAATTTTAGGCTTTTAATACACTTAAACAGAAGAGTGAGAAAAAAATTCACCCCCTCAGAGTTGTCATGAGTGTAAACTAGATCATTTAAACCAAAAACATGTTTTGGTACCAGGCTGTAAACGTTCATTTCTGCTGTGAAATTGATATTTTTAACATGAGAGTCAATGAGAATTTGCTCGCTTCTGACACCATTCCCCAGCGGATGAGGGTGGAACTGCAATTTATTTCACTTCCGGGATTGCTTCAATTTTTCAC